AGACTGTGGGAGGCAGTGGAAGACAGAAGTGCCTGGCGTGCTCTGGTCCACGGAGTCACGAAGAGTCAGACATGACTAAACGACTAAACAACAAAGTGATGGCTTTCGGGGATTAGCCTGTTTTAAGCTGGGAACTCATGATTCTCTCACGTTATGCCTCAATGCTTTCTCCAGATTCCTGCACTTTCTTCCCTCCAGCCCCTAAGCAGGGGTTTTCCCCTCAGTCCCATTCTCCTTGTTCCTTCCGTTCTTCAGCTGCCATCACCATCCACCCCAATTCCTCCCAAGCTCTTTCTTCCTCCATCTGTTCCTCCCTGCTTCTCAGACCACTGTGTGACTATCGATGGCTATTGTTTGCCTCTGAATATCAGTAATTGGCTCCTTCATGTCAAGTACTTAAAGAAATGGGAGTGCCTGATCACCTCATCTGCCTCCTGAGAAATCTCTACGTGGGACAAGAAGCTACAGTTAGAACTGGATATGGAACAACCGATTGGTTCAAAATTGGGAAAGGAGTACGACAAGGCTGTATATTGTCTTCCTGCTTATTTAACTTATATCCAGAATTCATCATGCGAAAGGCTGGACTGGATGAATCCCAAACCGGAATTAAGATTGCCGGAAGAAATATCAACGAGCTCAGATATGCAGATGACACAACATTGATGGCAGAAAGTGAGGAGGAATTAAAGAACCTTTTATTGAGGGTGAAAGAGGAGAGCGCAAAATATGGTCTGAAGCTCAACATCAAAAAAACTAAGATCATGGCCACTGGGCCCATCACCTTCTGGCAAATAGAAGGGGAAGAAATGGAGGCAGTGAGAGATTTTACTTTCTTGGGCTCCATGATCACTGCAGATGGTGACAGGAGTCACAAAATTAAAAGACGCCTGCTTCTTGGGAGAAAAGCAATGACAAACCTAGATAGCATCTTAAAAAGCAGAGACATCACCTTGCCAACAAAGGTCCATATAGTTAAAGCCATGGTTTTCCCAGTAGTGATGTATGGAAGTGAGAGCTGGACCATCAAGAAGGCTGATCGCCAAAGAATGGATGCTTTTGAATTCTGGTGCTGGAGGAGACTCTTGAGAGTCCCTTGGACTGCAAGAAGATCAAACCTATCCATTCTTAAGGAAATCAGCCCTGAGTGCTCGCTGGAAGGACAGATCGTGAAGCTGAGGCTCCAATACTTTGGCCACCTCATGAGAAGAGAAGACTCCCTGGAAAAGACCCTGGTGTTGGGAAAGACTGAGGGCACAAAGAGAAGGGACAACAGAGGATGAGATGGTTGGACAGTGTTCTCGAAGCTACCAGCATGAGTTTGACCAAACTGTGGGAGGCAGTGGAAGACAGGAGTGCCTGGCGTGCTCTGGTCCATGGGGTCATGAAGAGTCGGACACGAATAAACGACAAATCAGTAATTGGAAATCCCACGGGGAGAGAGCACTGTTGCAGTCATCCAGTTGGACTACAATCCTATGACGCATAAAGCCTTCAATGGCTCAGGACTGCAATATCTCAAGGACCACCTCTCCATGACACCAGCCCTTTTCTGCGTGCCTCATATATGAGAGGTCCGAAAAGTGGCAACATGATAATGGGTCTTTTGTGGAATGCTCTCCCCAGGAAGGCTCACCGGTCACCTTCATTATACACTTTTAGGTGCCAGGTGAAAAGGTTCCTCTTCAACCAGCCCTTTGGCTGATGGACACATCTAATGCCCCTTTGAATGTGTTGTGGGAGGGGTATTATCGTTTGTTGTTGTTTTGTTCTTATTTTTATTATGCGTTGTGTTTTTTATATTATAATTTTATGTTGTGAACCACCCTAATATCTATGGATGAAGGGCAGTCTACACCAGGGGTAGGCAACCTAAGGCCTGTGTGGTGTAGTGGTTAAGAGCGGTAGTCTGCTAATCTGGGGAACCGGGTTCGCGTCTCCGCTCCTCCACTTGCAGCTGCTGGGTGACCTTGGGCCAGTCACGCTTCCTTGAAGTCTCTCAGCCCCACTCACCTCACAGAGTGTTTGTTGTGGGGGAGGAAGGGAAAGGAGAATGTTAGCCGCTTTGAGACTCCTTAAAGGGAGTGAAAGGCGGGATATCAAATCCAAATTCTTCTTCTTCTTCTGTGGGCCTTCTCAATCCAGCCTGCGGGCGGTCCGCGAATCAGCGTGTTTTTACATGAGTAGAATGTGTCCTTTTATTTAAAATTCATCTCTGGGTTATTTGTGGGGCATAGGAATTCATTCATTATTATTTTTTCCCCAAAATATAGTCTGGCCCACCACATGTTCTGAGGGACGGTGAGCTGAAACAGGTTGCTGACCTCTGGTCTACACATTTTAATAATAATAATAATAATAATAATAATAATAATAATAGTTATTTTCAGCCGGAACTCACCGGAGCTCAGTTCTGGCACCTCTCAGGTGGGTGCCATTACCATTATAAGACAACAAGGGAGACGTTCTTTGAGTGTTCCAGCACCTCTTTTTCTAGAAAAATAGCACTGATAATAGTAATGATTTGGCTCCTTTGCGTTTCCCTGACCTCCCACTGGCTTCTGTCCCAACACCTAACGCCAAGAGAAGAGACTAGATCCCTGGTCTAAGATCCTGCTTTATCTTGGCTTCTTGGCCTGCAGCCTGACAAAATTCCAGAATCATGGAGCTACAGCAATTCCTATTGCCGTACAACTTGCCTCCGAATATTCGTTCACAACAAAGCAAGGCAAAGTGTTGTTGCCATTGCAAAGTGTAAATTGCAGCGAGGCTTACAGAGAACCACAGAGCACAAAAATAACTGTTATTATATTGAAGAACACTCTAAGCAGCTGACAGCAGGCGGGCTTAAAGTCCTGTATCAAAGATCTTCCTCGGCTGATAGCAGCTTGAAAATGCATTAAGGCCATGGTTGCAGTTTTTCGCAGCTGGGAGGACTTCGGAGCTGTTTATCCCTCCAAAGAAATGACTTGATCCCAGAATTTTAATACCACCGCAAGGGTCAAGACTTCCAGGCCGGAATCCCAAGAGGGGAAAGTACTGTTGCTGCACGCGAGTCCTGTTTGCAAGCTTCCCGTGGATGTCTAGTTGCAGACCCTCCAAGTGTCCCTATTTTCCAGGGACAGTCCCGGATTTACAGAAGTAGTCCCGGTTTCTGATCTGATCCTGGAATTTCCTGCTTTTCCATAGAATGTCCCAGAGTGGCTGGGGCAACCCAGTCAGATGGGTGGGGTGCAAACAAACAAACAAACAAACAAACAAACAAACAAACATTGAAATTGTCACTTTGCAATTCTTAGTGCAGAAAGTATTGATCTGATGTGTAGAGATCTTTCCTATTCTAATTAATTCAAGAGGGTTCTGGAAGCTTCTCTGTGTGAAAGAAACAAGCAGAAGGTTCGTGATGTTTGGGTTATTCCTTCCGAGAAGCTGGTTTAAACTAGTTCTCTTATCTTTTCTGTCAAGGTCAGGCTGACTATAAAAGTAAGGCCAGAAGGAGCCTGGTTTTCACTTTTCTCTTTCTATCTCTTTTCCTTCTGGTATGGTGTTCTGTACATAGTACGCTTAGTGTTAAGGTTTAGTTAAGTTATTGTAAGGTAAGGTTAAGTTATTGTAAATTTAAGTTAAGTCTGCTGCAACTGGATTTCTTATGGACAGCGCCAATCCTGAATGTATTGGATTTGGGACCATTATGCTCATTTGCCTTCAGTAGCAGTAAAGCTCTGCCGGATGAAATACAATTGCCTCTGGTCCTTGGGAATCCTGCAACATGTTTAAGTTTTTACTCTCCTAACTATCCATTGGAATCTACTCTGGATCAATACTGAGTAGAATTCCATGGCAGAAATGTTGGACGGTATACTAGGATGTCCCTATTTTCATCAGAGAAACGTTGGAGGGTATGGAGTTATGAGACCCCTGAGCTAAGGAGACTATACAACCTTTAGGAGACATCTGAAGGCAGCTCTGTATAGGGAAGTTTATTAATGTTCAATGTTTTATTACGTTTATATATATATATATATATATATGTTGGAAGCTGCCCAGAGTGGCTGGGGCAACACAGACAGACGGGCAGGAGGTTGTTGTTGCTGCTGCTGCTGTTATTGTTATGGCAACAGGACATCCCTATTTTCATTGGATAAATGATGGAGGGTACAGTCATACCTCGGGATGAATATGCTTCAGCTTAAATATTTTTGGGTTGCGCTCCGCGGCGACCCAGAAGTAATGGAACACGTTACTTCCAGGTTTCGCCGCTCGCGCAGACGCTCAAAATGACGTCACGCGCATGCGCAGAAGCGGCAAAACGTGACCCGCGCACGTGTAGACACAGGTTGCGTTCACTTCAGGATGCGAACGGGACTCTGGAATGGATCCCGTTTGCATCCAGAGGTACCACTGTATATAGTTGGCCACAGTGAGAACTGCAGAACTTTTCTTACGTTATGTCTTTTTAACCCAAATTTCCAGCTTGATGTTTTTATTCTGTTTAATATTCCGTTGGGAGAAGCCCAAAGTGGCTGGGAAAACTCAGTCAGATGGGTGGGGTATAAATAATAAATTATTATAATATTAAGGTAAAGATAAAGGGACCCCTGACCATTAGGTCCAGTCGTGACCGACTCTAGGGTTGCGGTGCTCATCTCACTTTATTGGCCAAGGGAGTCGCCGTTTGTCCGCAGACAGCTTCTGGGTCATGTGGCCAGCATGACTAAGCCGCTTCTGGTGAACCAGAGCAGCGCACGGAAACACTGTTTACCTTCCCGCTGGAGTGGTACCTATTTATCTACTTGCACTTTGACGTGCTTTTGAACTGCTAGGTTGGCAGGAGCAGGGACCGAGCAACAGGAGCTCACCCCGTTGCGGGGATTCGAACCGCCGACCTTCTGATCAGCAAGTCCTAGGCTCTGTGGTTTAACCCACAGCACCACCCGCATCCCTATTATAATATCAATATTACTTATTTTTTTTACCCACATTATATATCTCCTCCGCAGGATCACGAAGGAGCGAGTGCCCTTCCGGCTCCGCCAAGCAGCCGCGTGCCAATTTCCAAGTGTGGCGACCTGGACGTCCTCTTTGAGTACAAGCCCTCGAGCCAAAAGCTGCTGGTGACGGTTCTGAAGGCGAAGGAGATCCCTGACAAGGACCGCAGCGGAGCCAGCTCCTGGCAGGTGCATGTGGTCCTGATGCCCAGCAAGAAGCAGAGAGGGAAGACGAGCGTCCAGCGAGGCCCCAGCCCTGGGTTCAAGGACAAGGTGACCTTCAGCAAGTTGGCGCCGGAGGAGCTGAGCAGCTACGCCCTCCGGTTCCGCCTCTACTCCGTGCGCAAAATGATCAAGGAGAGGATGATGGGGGAGCACCTGTTTTACCTCAGCCACCTGAACCAGGAAGGGGAAATGAAGGTCACACTAGTCTTGGAGCCCAGGAGCAACTTGTGTGTAAGTTTTTAGGCTGGAAGAAGCCACCTAACGCTGTCCCCTCCCCCAAAAATTGTATTGAGACTTTTTTTTCTCTCTCTCTCACACACACATATATTTGAATTAATTTTTAATTAATTTTTAATTAATTTTTTAATTTAATTAATTTTTTAAATTAATTTTAATTGATTAAAATTTGAATTAATTTTTAACATATCTTTTCCAACAGTCATTTAACATAACTTCTTATCTTATACAATATTTCCGACTTCCGTCCACAACCTCTGAAGATTTTACGTTCTTTATCACTTATTCTGCATTTCTTCATTTCTCTGTTACTTTTAATTGTCATTAACTAATAATTCTCTTCATAGTCTTTCTTGCGATGTTTCATATAATCCTCCTTACAGAACTTCTTGCAGTCCTACTAGCGTAATCTGCTTATTACAATTGCTTTCCAAATAGTTCAAATGTTTATTCCAGTCTTCTAAGAATCTCTGGTCCTGCAGATTTCGAATCCTTCCTGTTAATTTATTGAATTCTGCATAGTCCATTAAGTTCAAATTTTATTGAGACTTTTCATCATGGAATACAATAAATAACAAACTAATCTAACCATGTATAGACTTTTTGCAGTGGCTTCCCATCTGTGGAATGCTCTCCCCAGGGAAGTTCGCCTGGTGCCTTCATTATTCACCTTTAGGCAAAAATTTTCCTCTTTAACCACGTCTTTGGTTGATTTGATTGACATCCTGTGCCCTTCTAAAATGTGTGTGTGTGTGTGTGGTTATTGGGTTGTTGTTGTTTTTATTTTGATTATGTACTTTGTGGTTTTATATTCTGATTTTATCTTGTGAACCGCCCTGAGACCTGTGGGTATAGGGCAGAATATAACTTCAAATAACAACAACAACTTACAATATTTGGGTTTGAGGACTGAAGGTAATATTGGTTTATAGAAAGTGAATTTGTTGGGTGTTATCTTGGAGTGGATGTGCTGACTAATGTTCTACTTATAGCTGAAAGATGAAGAATCGGAAGTTCTCTTTTTTCAATCTCTTTTTTCTGCATCTTCTCCTTCAGTCTTTATTTAGATTAGTTTTTTGGTACCGAAATGGGTTACTTCCGGGTTTCGGCGGCCGCGCATGCACAGAAGTGCTAAATCGTGCTTTGCACATGCGCAGAAGCGCCGAATCACAACTGGTGCGTGCATATGCACACGGGGCACTACGGGTTGTGAACGCTGCGGGTTGTGAATGTGCTTCCCACACAGATCACGTTCGCAACCCAAGCGTCCACTGTACTCTTTTACCCTTTTCCAAGTCCACTACATATGAAAGAATGTTCCCTCCACCTCCTGGTTAACGCTTACTCTCTGATCTCCATCCCCAACAGAGTGGAGGCTCCCAGATGAGTCTCTCGGCCATCTCTCACAGTGACAGTGCTTCTTCGACCCAGTCCCTGTCACACGGAGGGGTTCCAGAACTGCTGGTGGGCCTATCCTACAATGCCACAACGGGGCGGCTGTCTGTCGAAATGATCAAAGGCAGCCACTTCCGGAACCTGGCTATTAACAGGCCGCCTGGTATGTAAAAGCATTTTGTTTTGTTTTTGTAGCCAGCATGCAGAATCTCCTAGCTTAGCAGATGTGTCTGGGCTTGAATTCAGAAGCTTGCGGTCAGGGGCAGAGGGGCTGCGATCTAGTTGCCTGTTATGTACTGAGTTGAATAGGATCCAAAATGTAGCAGCCTGATTGGTCCTAGAACAATAGGATTCAGAATACAGCAGTCTGATTGGTCCGCAGGAGCCACCCAATCCAGCTCCAGGTGGAAGTGAATCCCCAACGTGATTGGCCTATAGGTAAAGGTAAAGGTACCCCTGCCCGTACGGGCCAGTCATGTCCGACTCTAGGGTTGTGCGCCCATCTCACTTAAGAGGCCGGGGGCCAGCGCTGTCTGGAGACACTTCCGGGTCACGTGGCCAGCGTGATGAAGCTGCTCTGGCGAGCCAGCACCAGTGCAACACACGGAAACGCCGTTTACCTTCCCGCTATAAAGCGGTACCTATTTATCTACTTGCACTTAGGGGTGCTTTCGAACTGCTAGGTGGGCAGGAGCTGGGACCGAAAGACGGGAGCTCACCCCACCGCGGGGATTCGAACCGCCGACCATGCGATCGGCAAGCCCTAGGCGCTGAGGTTTTATCCACAGCGCCACCCGCGGCCTATAGGAGAATCCCAGAATTAGCCAATCACATGGGGCCCATTATGTAAATAATTTATATAAAGCAGACATTTTGGGGTAACTTCCATTCCTCGCTACTATGAGCTGAATAAAGAGCATGAAATCCACACTCGACTCTGAGTATATTTCATTGCCCATGACATTTTATATAGAAAGGAGGGGTATAAATAAAGCTGGAGATATTTCTCCAGACAGTGGAAGGCAATTTCAAGGAGAGATTGGGGCTTGAAGGCGTGTTCACACATCCCCGCTCGCACCTAGAAATGTCTAAGGATTCAGATTTAAACAGAAACAGGCTGGATATTACGTGTTTTTTTCCATGTCTGGAAATCAATCCAGCAAATACAACCGGCATTCCGCGGCGGCCGTCAGTCTGCAAACAATACGTAATTAATTACGCCACTCCCCCTCAATTTGAATTGCATTTCCAGTGCATTGAAATGAACGGGGTGGAATAATGTTTTGAGGACGTTACTTTGCTAATTGTGAAAGTCACAAAGTTTTGCCAGAAAGGACAGCGAGGCAAATAACAGAGTTTTGGGCGGAAGACGAACTGCAGCAGAATGGAAACGGCGGGACAGAAAACAACGCCTTCTTGTGCAGGTTTATTGTGTTGCCTGGAAAAAAATAATACTTGTTTTATTGGAGGCAGCGACACCTGTTTGATTGGAGGCAGCAACAGGGCAAAATAAATAGGTGTCACTCATGGGAAGCGATGGTTCCTAGAGCATCAGAAATATATTGCATAAGATGCTGCTTTTCAGAGAAGGTTTCCTGGTGACATAGGAGGAGCATAGCAAACAAGGGCGGGTTGTCCTGCCGCAATGCTGATAGTGAAATGATTTAACAACTCTCGTCAGCTGAGCTTTGGCCTCCGCCCTGCAAAGCAAATTCCATGTCCTCCATTTATTTTATGGTTTGTTTGGTTTTTGCTTGAGCCAATCACATCCTGTAGAAGTCGAAAGCATCAGTAGCACTTGGGGACACCCTTTTGTGTCTTATTAACAAGCTGTGGGCTTAGCGCTGAACCCCAGTCAGTGGTTCCTGCTGGTGAGAATCGAGCTGTGTCGTGCTGACTTGCAGAACTTCTGACTGCAGCTTTCAAGGCCCCTTATTCCTTGGGAAGCACCATTAATTGTGTTAATGATCCATATGGCTGAATCATAGAATCATGGAACTATAGAGTTGGAAGGGACCCTGAGGGTCATCTAGTCCAACCCCCTGCAATGCAGAAATCTCAACTGAAGCATCCATGGCAGATGTTTAGTCAGAATCCCCTTGTGGCGATCACACAGGGTCCCTGGACGTTTCACCGTCTATTGATCCCTATGCCACCACTTTATTTCTCGCTGCCACCACCCAGGCCCTACCTGGTACAATACTGAGTCCAGTCAGGGTTCAATTGGAACATAAACTTCTGTTTATTTATTGCAGTTTAACAAGCGTGTGGTTTCATAAACGGTAACGGTCAATTACATTCACGGGGTGCCTATCCAGACCTATAACTTCCGCTACCTGCTCTCACTCACTAAACCACCTCTCAGATATTGACTTGTCTTCCTAGCCCTAACTGTTCCTGACTCAGCTTATTTCGCTACACTAACTCAACCTGCCCACAGACTCTATCCCAATTCACTCCCACTCCAGCCAACCACCCAACTCCCAACGAACTCTTCCCTTCGCCCCTCCCAGAGCTGGTTTTATAGTCCCACTGACTCCACCCCTCTGGGTTCTGATTGGGTAACCTGTTTAACTATTTCACCTCCAGCATCCTCATATGTTAACGTCACACCTCTTTCTTGCAACTTGAAGCCATGGGTTCGAGTCCTACCCTCCAGGGCAGAAGAAAACCAGCTCGCTCCATCTTCCATGTGGCAGCCCTTGAGATATATGGAGATGGATCTCATATCTCCTCACGGTCTCCTCTTTTCCAGGTTAAGCTCCCTCAACAGTTCCCAGACCCTTGATAATCTTGGCCACCTCCTATGCATTTTCATAGAGTTGGGCAGCAAATTACTTTCCATGTTCTTGTTTTTCTTCTGACCTGAAATGGGAACAGTATGTACATATTTTAAATAAACAAGCAATGTCAAGGTGCCGTAAATGGTCCCCCCTATTTGATCCCCACAACAACCCTGTGATGTAGATTAGGCTGAGAAACAATGACCAGCCCAAGCCCACTAAATGAGCTTTATGGCAGTAATAATAATAATAATAATAATAATAATAATAATAATAATTATTATTATTATTATTATTATTATTATTATTATTATTATTATTATTTTATACCCCGCCCATCTGGTTTCCCTAGCAACTCTGGGCGGCTCCCAACAGAATATTAAAAACACAATAAAAACATCAGACATTAAAAACTTCCCTAAACAGGGCTGCCCTCAGATGTCTTCTAAAAGTCAGATACAGTGGTACCTCTGGTTGCGAACGGGATCCGTTCCGGAGGCCCGTTCGCAACATGAAAAGCCCGCAACCTGAAGTGCCGTATCTGCGCAGGTGTGCAGCGTGATTTGGCGATTGTGCACATGCGTGAGGCATGATTTAGTGCTACTTCGCATGCGTGAACAGTGAAACCCGGAAGTAACCCTTTCCGGTACTTCCGGGTCGCTGTGGGACACAACCTGAAAAAACGTAACATGAAGCCAACGTAACAAGAGGTATGACTGTAGTTGTTTATTTCCTGGTGGAAGGGCATTCCAGAGGGAGGGTGCCACTACTGAGAAGGCCCTGTGTCTGGTTCCCTGTAATTTCAATTCTTGCAGTGAGGGAACCGCCAGAAGGCCCTCAGAGGTGGACCTCAGTGTCCGGGCAGAACGATGGGGGTGGAGACGCTCCTTCAGGTATACTGGGCCGAGGCCATTTAGGGCTTTGAAGGTCAGCACCAACACTTTGAATTGTGCTCGGAAACGTACTAGGAGCCAACATAGGTCTTTCAGGACCAGTGTTATATGGTCTTGGCGGCCACTTAGTGGGGATTTGAACGCTGATCTCCCAGGTTCATGTTTGACACAAGAGGACTGAACAGCCAGATAACTAGCAAGGACTGGTGTGTGATAGTGTGTGCAGTGATGGGGTCCAACCCTTGTATCTTAAAGGGGGCACACTGAGCGCATCTTTCCTGGGAAGAGTTAACCTGATAACTCTTCTGCCAGGAAAAAAGCTACAATAAATAAAATACTAAAAGAGAACGGTAAAAGATATCGCTCTCTCATTCCCCAAATCGCTTTGTTTCTTGTCTGCCGTATTTTTTGCTCTATAAGACGCACCAGACCACAAGACGCACCTAGTTTTTGGAGGAGGAAAACAAGAAAAAAAATATTCTGAATCTCAGAAGCCAGAACAGCAAGAGTGTGCAGTGAAAGCAGTAATGTGTGTGCAGTGAAAGCAGCAATCCCTCTTGCTGTTCTGGCTTCTGTGATAGCTGTGCAGCCTGCATTCGCTCCATAAGACGCACACACATTTCCCCTTACTTTTTAGGAGGGAAAAAGTTAGTCTTATAGAGCAAAAAATACGGTATTTAGAATTTTACGTCACTGAAAAAAGCACACCCAACCGCTTAGGTTTACATAAAATAGTATAAGATATTCATTTAAAAAGCAATAAAAGCAGACCTTTTAAAAGCTTCTGAATAAAAAATATTACAATATTCAAACAAATATATGTAATAGAATTTCATGTCTGGGGGAGGCTCGCCTGTATGTTTCCCAAATTCACTCAGGTACACTGATGTGTTCATCCTAGAACTTGTAGCAAAATGTCTGAAGGCTGTTCATTCAAAACATGCACAGAAAAACAGACACACAAACACTGATGACAGCAGCAGTGACAGAAGAGGAAGCTGCCTAGAGAGGAACTCCTTGCTTCTGAGTCGTATACAAGTGTTTTCGCGCCAGAAGCGAGACATTGCACCTTGTTTCTCAGGCGCAGAGGTGTGGAAAAGAGCGCGTCACAAAGAGAAAGAGGCGGGATGCTCTCAGGGGAAGATTGAGGGTTGCCATTCCAGTTGTACTCAGCTAAATTGCACACAGAGCAGACCTAACGAAAGCTAGGTTCGTTAATTTCAACACATTCGCACTGGGCTGTTGATGTTTGTCCATGATATTCAGGTTAGGGCTTAGGGCCCTTGTATTTACAGGACCGCCTCTCCTGGTCTGCCCCGCAGAGGACCTTAAGGTCCATGAAGAACCATAGTTTAGAGGTCCCGGGCCCTAAGGAAGTCAGACTATTCTCCACCTGGGCCAGGGCCTTTTCAGTGATGGCTCCGACCTGGTGGAATGCTCTGTCCCATGAGGCCAGGGCCCCTCAGGATTTAACCTCCTTCCATTGGGCCTGTAAGACAGAGCTATTCCGCCTGGCCTTTAATTGAATTCAGCCTGATCTTTTATTTCCCTCCCCTCCCCCTCCCCTTTTATGAAGATCACCCGCTCTGAGACCCCACAGCTAATTCTCCCCTGGCCTCCTCGCTGGCCCAAGTAGGACTAATTCAGCCAGCTAGCCCTAGGGATTATCTAATGCTTCTTAGATGGATTTCCCCTAAATTGATTTCTGAATTTTGAATTTTATTGTTATTCATGTTTTTATATTGTATTTTATGCTGCTTTTACAATTAAGTGTTTTAAATTTGTTGTTAGCCGCCCTCAGCCCTGTTTTGAACTGGGAAGGGCGGGGTATAAATAAAAAAATATTAGTAGTAGTAGTATTGTGGCATTCTTCCTGGTTAAAAAGTGGCTGTTTATCTCCAAAACAGACCTGAGGGGTAGCTTCAAAACAGAGATAAGCCACAAACCTAGTGCTTACATTTTTTTTCATTAGAATAGAATAGACTAGACTAGAATAGTGGGTCCTGAGGGTCATCTAGCCCAACCCCGTTCAATTCTGGAATTTCAGCTAAAGCATCCATGACAGATGGCCATCTAACCTCTGCTGAAAAACCTCCAAGTCCACCATCATATCATCATATCATATATTATCATATCATACCTGCATTGTGGGGGGTTGGAATAGATGACCATCGGGTCCCTTCCAGCTCTTAAGATTCTATAAATTACATATTTAGAAACAATAACCCAGGGGTAGGCAACCTAAGGCCCGGGGGCCAGATCGCCTTCTAAATCCGGCCCGCGGACGGTCTGGGAATCAGCGTGTTTTTACATGAGTACAATGCGTGCTTTTATTTAAAATGTATCTCAGGGTTATTTGTGGGGCATAGGAATTTGTTCATTCCCCCCTTCCCCCAAAAAAATATAGTCCGGCCCCCCACAAGGTCTGAGGGACGGTGGACTGGCCCTCTGTTGAAAAAGGTAAATAGTAAATTGAAGGAGTTGATTTTACTAGAAAGATGATTTTGGAGAGCTGTTACAAGATGATACATTGAAATTCAGTTAGGGGGGATTCGTGGAAGTCAGTTAACAATGAAAGATAAATTGGGTTTAACAAGTAATATGTGTTTATATTTTTGTTTCTTTTTAGTACTGTAATGTGTTTTCTTTTGTGTGTGTTTTTATGTTAGATTTGTTATAAATGTGGAAAATCAATTAAAAAATTTTGGAAAAAAAAGTGGAAAAGGTTGCTGACCCCTGCAATAACCTGTCCCTTCCCCCTTTCTTCGCATGTCCATTTTTGTCCCGCAGACACTTACGGAAAGCTCTGCCTCCTCAACTCCGTTGGCCAGGAGATGTCCCGCTGCAAGACGTCGCTCCGCCGGGGGCAGCCGAATCCCGTCTACAAAGAGACTTTCGTCTTCCAGGTTGCCTTGTTCCAGCTGTCGGACGTCACGCTGATGATCTCCGTCTACAACCGCCGCAGCATCAAGCGCAAGGAGATGATCGGCTGGCTCTCCATGGGGCAGAACAGTAGCGGGGAGGAAGAGCTGAGCCACTGGCAGGAGATGAAGGAATGCAAGGCTCAGCAGGTGTGCCGGTGGCACACTCTCCTGGAATCCTAAGGGGAAGAGCCTCCGAGGTCCTGGCATGGCGGTTGTCTCCACCTGAGGCTCAGAAGGTTAAGCCAACCCTTCCCAGTGTTTGAAACACAAAGGACTGCCAAGTTCCTGTTATGAACTGGACTTCTGACGATTTTTACTAGTCACAGTTGTATTTGCACTCTTCCCTTCCCCAAAAGGTCTCTCAAAACGACAGCCACGCCATTGGCAAAGGCAGAGCAGGATTGGCACTTGGATCCGGCCCCTCAGAGAAGAAGGCCAGGGCTGATGAACCTTTTCCGCTCCGAGGGCCTCATTCTGCTCTCGGCAACCTCCCGAGGGCCGCATGCGACTGTTGAGCAGGGCCAGAGGCAAAATTGGAGGGTGGGGGCAATGGGAAGCGAACGTTACATTTGTCCAGTAGGCTGAATTTCTAGACACCCACAGCACACAGTCCTTGTCTACATCAGCAAGAGACGTTTTTAGGGTTGAAAGGATGCGTTCCGGCCAGGGCATTGAGTTTTGAGGACCAGATTGCAAGGCCTGGGGGGCTGCATTCATTCCCTGAGAATCCCCGCTTCCAAACGAGGCTTTCTTTGTCTTTGGCGATGCCATCATGTAGCCAAATCTGATTGGTTGGCCAGTGGAAGAGGGTCTGTAAACAGCAGCAAGTTGTCATGCAAGAAGTATGCTTTGAGGGTACAGTTTTTCTCTTCAAAACCCTCCCATCCCCTTTTTCCACGCCAAAAATAATGTTTGCCGGGGAACATTTGGCTCAACTCCAATTTGCTTATACGATGGCAGTCGCTGAGATGACGTTCGGAAGAGGCTGCTTGGCAAAGAATGGAAAGAATGAATGGTTCCGACGGGAATGTTTGGTAGAAGCCATGGAAGGAAAAAAAAGTATCTAGAAGGCTGGCCGTCAGCACTATAGTGTAGGATAGTCGGAGAAACTGGGCGTAAAAGCTGGCCTGACCATGATAGACCCTGCTCAAGTCTTCCTTTTTAATTTCTCAGCCTCCTCCAAGTGTGGTCCTTCCATTTTCTAAACTGAGCATAGCCTATGTGTTTTTGCTGAGCCACACCTCTGCTCAGCCCAAGCAGCCACAGTCAATGATCAGAGATGATGGGATGGCAATCCAACGATACTTAGAGGGCCACAAATGCAGAATTCCCAGTATAAGCCCATGAGGGCTAGAAAATATGTTTTAATAAGTTGAGGTACAAAGCTGCACACAGAAAAACTTCTGGCAAAGCTTGGCTTGTGCACTCAGAACATGGAGGGTGTGTGGATGGTGTCATTTGTATGGTTTAGCTAATAGATGGTTTTGTTCCTGGAGTTCGTTGAATCTGAGTAGAGAGTCAGGAGTTCCCTCTCTGGGAGCAGAGACTGCAAAGATTTTGTCTAGCTTCTAGACTGGTGCGTCCTCTACACCTCCCATGAGGAAAGGAGAATCATCTGAAAGAAGCGGGACCTGAATGTGCAGTACATCGGGTCAGGACTCAATGGAACACCAATTAAGCCCCCCCCCCAAATAAATAAATGCTGAAATCAATCCCAGCCTTGGGAACCAGGGCCCAGGAAAAACCAGCACAGACAAAAATGACCTCCTTTAAGCATCAGGGACCAGTAAGTGAAGCAAGCTCCTTCGGTGCACGGCCATCTTTTGGGGATGCTTTAGCTAGGGTTCCTGCATTGTCGGGGTTGGACTAGATGACCCCTGGGTTCCCTTCCAACCCTTACATTTCTATGATTCTGTGACACAGCCGGTGGAGGGTCCCAAGAGCCAGATACACTGTTGTCATAAAGCAAGCATGCATCTTCCTTCGGAACATAGGAGCCAACTCCTAGGGGCCGAGGGGTCATTGGCCCCCCCAATAAAATATTTGAGGGGGCCCCCAAATTTGGTGGGCATTGCTATTCAAATGCTTTGTATGCACCATGTCATGTGATTGATTATGCAGGGCAGAGATTACCCCCCCCCCAGTATTTTATTCAAGTTGGCTGCCCTGCTTAGGAACAAATATAGGCAGGTTTTAGGGACTGATCAACCAAAACTCATGTTTTTGTTTTCCTTACCACCTTTTTATTTCAAAGGACTACGGGGGGATTGCAAGATTTGTCTGAAATTATGCAGATGATGTCATTGGTCTAGCACTGCATATTACTCATCTATTCTTTTTTTTAAAAAACCCCACAAACCTGGGGTTTTATTTTCTATTCTCGAGACAAAACATCGTTTGCTGCAACTGCAGGCTTGGAAAGGGGTTGAGGGATGACAATGAGTTGAAGCAGGTGGGCCAACAGATCACCTTTGGGAGAGCTGTAGATCCCCGCCCCCACCCTTTAAACTTCCAAGTGCCTGTAGGCTGTGATCAAACTTGGATATGTGCCAAGAATAGCAGTGGATCCAAAATGAGCAAAGAACTCCTCCATCGGTAGTTGGGGAGATGCAAAACCTTTCAGCAGCTCCCCACCCTCCACAATGTTCAAATGGTTGTGTGAGAATGTGATGCACCGATTGATGGATGCCGCAATTATAAGGAGGTGGCTTGTGTTGTCTGTCTTCAGACCTCTGTGTTTTCTTTCTTTGCCAAATCCACCAGTGGGAATTCCAGAACCAGGGCTGGATCCCAATTTTTTTTTTATTGAGAGAGGGGCTTTGGCTGAAATCCATTCTGCAGCTCCTTAATTTCCGAGGCAAAAGGCCCAGTTATTCATTTGCCAGTGTATGCACACAGAGGTGGGCATTTCTGTGCAAAGGCTGAACACACACTTGCTTGCAGCACAAAATTTAACTTATTTCTGAATCCAGAATTGTTCCCACTCGTCCTCAACAGGCTCCTTTCAATGCAGATTGATTCTGGATCCTGCCATCCACAATGATGAGTGTGGTTACTTGAGAACCAACTGAAAACCCTCTGCGTAGGGTATCCATGCCTTTCCATCCCTGAACCTGCCCCAGGTGAATGAAGAAGGAAGTGGTGCTTACGATCTCAGTATATGGCTCTCACATATCGCTGGGCAGGCTTGGATAGACACACCAACACACTGAAGGGACTGCCTGCATAGGATTTCATCATTTTTTAAATGGACACACTTGCATGGTAATGCAGACACAATCTGCCACAAGCTTTTCATGTTGAAACCTGTTTCTCCAAAAATGCTGTCCAGAGATCAGGAAAAATATGCAGTAGTTCTAGATTGCGTGTGGAAGAGAAAACAAATACTTGATCTCCATTGAGTCTAGAATAAAATGTTGTGTGTGCACAGCCAAAAACGGGCACCTCGTACGCACCAATCTCACCTTGCTTGGGGGGGTGTTGCTACACACACAGGTGCTGCATAGCCCCTGCACTCTTATGTGTGATGAATTGCCACTTGCCTGGGGTCGCTTCCGGACAACGTGCTTATTTAGCATTTATCTCAATTTGTTTGGACAGGCTTTCCAGGGAAGAAAGGGAGCGTTCGTTCTGATTTGCTCGCTGGGAGGTTAGACATAGTCATCCCAGGAAATGTCACATGTATTTGCAGGCATGTGCAGCCACAAGAAGGGTGCATCAGGCCTCTGGGGAGGAGCCCCACGACCCAGCAAACAGCCTATGAGCCCCATAGCCCCGTCTGATGTGTAGGGTGATTGCAGCAGGGGGTGGGATTTGGGGTGCTGCTTCCATGTCAGAGGTGGGGAACCTGCAGCCCATGCATTTCAGCCCGCAAGGACGTTTTCCCCAAACCATGCCCACCTGCCCTGCACACCTGATGCTGCGTTCGAGATCAGGTGTGGGGCAGGCAGAGACCTGGCTGGATTGGCAAGTTCTCTGTGGGGGACACAATCCCTGCAGAAAGCAGCTTTGCTAGCCCTGTGGCCAGCGATTGAGAAGGGCTGGGCTTAAGGCTTCTCAAACTGGCTTGCAGGGCTGGGAAGAGATCACTGGAGCCGGAAAGGTTCCCTGCCCTTGTCCTCAGTCAGTAACTGGCCGGCTCTGCAAGAGCGTTCATCCCCGAAGTCCCTTATGCAGCGTGCCTGTTCCTAAGCATGGCAGTGAAATGGGTGCATGAGCATGGGGTCAACCCTCCATCCAGTCAAAGGAGCCCCTTTTTAGACTTGCTAAATGCAGAAGCACAGTTCATCAGAGTAGCTGATCGGTAAGAATCGGGATCAATATCTTCAGGATAAATTAAGCACAGTTTATGGGCAATACCTAATTATTATTATTATTATTTGAAATCTATATAATTGTAGTTTTGTTCTTGCATCGGAATACCCTTGATTTAAATGTATGCATTGTTTTAGTTTTTACCGATAGAAACGAAATGTACACCTTGACCGTTTTCAGATACTTTTGTGTGAGATGCATCTGAATGTGCAACATTAAACTTGCAACATTTCTCTTAACTGTCCCGTGCCAGTGTAGAGTGCTGTCTGCTTTACGGCAAACACACACACACACCGCCCAAAGAGATGATGGGATGCAGAAGGGATGGATCTTATTGAAGCAGAGTTCAGAAACTACTTGCAATTGTTGATCCCAAGCAGTGAAATACTTCCTGTATCCCTTTCCAAGGGGCTTGCAGGAGGTGGTTTGTGAGTTTAAGTTGTGGGTTCACAAATGTGGAGGTTGACAGGGCACAGTACTACTCCCAAAGCAATATGAGCACTTTTAAAAAACCAATGCTCTCTCTTTCTCTCTTTTGCCAGTCAAATCCAGATCTGACTGTTCTTATCCACTCTGTTCATGCAAGCTAGTATTCAGTCCCACTCTGCTAGTTAGGTTGCAATCTGAAGTGCATTTAGGTAGAAATAACTGCCATTTGAGATCACTCTAGTTCCTTGTATTGCATTGCGGAGACTTTGGCTGGATCGAGACACATCAAAAAAACATTTTGGGAAAACGTATCATAAACCTTGTAAGGGGGAAATCATGTTACCGAAAGGTGGAACTCCACAGCGCCATCTGGTGTCACAGTGCTATGATGCATTTAAAACACTTTTTAAAACTTATTATTATTTTTGATGCAGCTGAGTCCTTTCTTTCCAGTTACTGGGACTGTCAGTATCCATTGCTTCTAGTGACTAGGCCACACCAAGCCTTAGGAAGAAACCATTTCCACTTTGCACAGCTTGGGGAAGTTGCACATGGGGTTTGCTTGCATGATCTAGAAAGAACCTTTCCTTAAGTGTTTGAGTCTCAAGCTGTCGGTGCAAAGCAAAAATGGCTGGGTCAGGGCTCTCGCATCGCTGCAAACTGGTGGCGGCAGCGGCAGCACAGTTTTCCAGTATTGCAGCCGCATAACACGAGCAATTGAAGACGTTTGCATGGAGTACCAAAGCCACAATAGACTTCTGGATGCAAATACAGCATCCAATTGCAGACATCCACAGAGTCTGCTTGTGCATTGAACTCGACCAATGATCTGGTTTCTCTTGGGTCAAGCAGTAAGCAAAGTACCCTTGCATTATTCCCTTTGCAAAGCACGCTCTTTGGGTTGGGGGCATTCAGGAACGATCCTTTTGCTCTTTGATTAGAGCCTCTTTTACAAAATGCAGCAATGTGCTTTGCAGATGGATAATTCTGACTCTTTGCATTACAAGATCCCCCCCCCACCCCGAGGAAAGAGAATTTTAACCGGATAATCATCGATCCCATTCCATCCTCCAATCTTGATAAAGGAATATGAAGCCAAGCCAGAATGTTTTGTCTATCTGTTCCAGGATTGTTTAGCAACAGCTCCCCAGGCCTGAAGGGACATGGGTAGCGCTGTGGGTTAAACCACAGAGCCTAGGACTTGCTGATCAGAAGGTTGGCGGTTCGAATCCCCGCGACGGGGTGAGCTCCCGTTGCTCAGTCCCTGCTCCTGCCAACCTAGCAGTTTGAAAGCACAACATGCAAGTAGATAAATAGGCACCGTTCCGGCGGGAAGGTGAATGGCGTTTCTGTGCGCTGCTCTGGTTTGCCAGAAGCGGCTTCGTCCTGCTGGCCACATGACCCGGAAGCTGTATGCCGGCTCCCTTGGCCAATAAAGTGAGATGAGCGCCGCAATCCCAGAGTCGTCCACGGCTGGACCTAATGGTCAGGGGTCTTTCCCCATCACCTGCCACCTGCCACCTGCCACCTGACCACTTAAACTGGTGAAGGATAGAACTGGGACCCTCCTCATGAAAAGGCATGATCCTGCCACTGAGCTATGGCAGAGGTTTATGTGAACCGTGCAGAACAAATAGAGTCACACAAACACCATACATTAAAAGCACATTCAATGCACATTTAAATCACATGACTTTCTCCAAGGAATCCTGGGAGCTTAAAGGGTTGTTGGCACATCCAGTTGGTTAAATAAATCAAATATTTGGGCAGCTGTTTACCAGCTCCATCTGGTACGTAGGCTGAGACCCTATCTGCCTGCGGACTGTCTCGCCAGAGTGGTACATGCTCTGGTTTACTGCAATGCGCTCTACGTGGGGCTACCTTTGAAGGTGACCTGGAAACTACAACTAATCCAGAATGCGGCAGCTAGACTGGTGACTGGGAGC